AATGAGTCCATTCCTTCGGCTGACTTGGCTGTCTGGCTGAGGAGATTTGGGGAGCTACTTGCACCCCTGAGGAAGATTGTGGATGAGAGAGGGATATGGACTGGTGGGTGGTCGGTGCAGATGAGGTTGTATGTGTGTGGGAATGTGGTCCAGCATCTGCCCTCCTCAGCCTTCATTGGGAAGGACAGGATTGTGGTGTTCTACCCTGGACAGCCCAAGCTCTGCAATAAATGCGGTTCTCGGGGTCACTTCGCCTCCTCATGTCCAGAGATGAAGTGCTCCCTATGTCAGGATCTGGGACATCTGGTTCTCGGGGTCACTTGGCCTCCTCATGTCCAGAGATGAAGTGCTCCCTATGTCAGGATCTGGGGCATCTGGTTCTCGGGGTCACTTGGCCTCCTCATGCCCAGAGATGAAGTGCTCTCTATGTCAGGATCTGGGGCACCTGGCTAAGGATTGTAATATCATCAGGTGCAATCTGTGTGATAAGGTTGGCCATTCGTACAACCGGTGCCCTGAGGCCATGCACAACCAGTCAGCTTTGGTGGAAGAGTTTTTTCGTCTGGACATGGAGGAGGCAGAGGAGAGGGGGGCTGTGCCAGGGGTCCCCAATGTCTCTGTCCCTGTGGTCCCAGTGTCTGATGGTCCCTCTAATGTGTCATCTCCTTGTGTTGTGCCCCCTGAGTCAGTGTCCGTGGATGTTGTGTCTGATCCTCCTGTGTCAGTTTCCCCAGAGGTAGTGGGGGCTGTGGAGGGAACTGGACCAATGTGTATGGTGCACCGACCCCCCTCCCCGGCGTCGGAGGGTCAGAGCGCGTGAGGCGCTGGGGGGTGGAGTGGATGATGGTGGGGGTGTTGGGGTGAAGGTTGGGGGGACTGCTGTGGTGAGTGGAGAGAGTGGGGTGGATGGTGATGGTGAAAGGGAAGGGGAGGGGGCTTTGCGGGGCGGTTTATCAAATGATGATATGGAGTGGTTGGAGGCAAAAAGGAAGTCTGGGAAGAAGAAGCGGAAGAAGGATGTGCCTGTACCTGACCCTGGGGAGGGTGGAGGTGTCAAACACATTTGAAGTGTTATCTGAGGTGGAGGATGAGGGATCTTCAGGGGATGAGTCTCTGGTTTCCATGGAGGAGGAAACACAGAGGACTATGAAGCGTGTAGGGTCTCCAAGTAGGGAGGGGGGTAAGCAGGCTAAGAAACGGGTACCTCGATCATCCTGATGGCGGTTCCCACTCCTTTGAAGGTGGCGACCATTAATGTCGCCAGCATAAAATCAGTAAGCGCTCGTAACATGGCCTTATTTTTGCTCAGCAGGTTTGATGCTGACATTTTCTTTTTGCAAGAGACCAGGTTGTCCAGTTTGGGGGATGTTCATATGGCGAAGAAGGAGTGGAGGCGCGGCCCCTCCTTCTGGTCTCTTGCGGCCGAGCCTTACACTGGAGTTGCGGTACTTTTTTCCGGCATGGTAACCTGTCGGCGGATTATTGAGGTAGAAATGGGGAGATGCATGGTCTTAGACGTCTCCATGGGGGGGCAGGACCTGCGCCTGATTAACATCTATGGGCCCCAGACAAAATGGGACAGGAAATGCCTCTTCATGAAGATCAAGCCTTTCCTTTTTACAGCCCAGCAAGTTGTCTTCGGTGGTGACTTTAACACCGTCACTAGGACTAAGGACAGGAGAGGGACCGGAGTCAGGCTGGACTGTGACGGCTAGAGAGGCAGGTCTGGTTGATGTGCACATTCATTGCTGCCCAGAGACACGGGGATTCACTTTTCAGAGAGGTTCCAGTCAGAGTAGAATAGATAGGTTTTTTTTAAAGGGGAACTCCGCCTTCTCGGCACCAGTGTGTGTCAGGCGGTGGAGTTTTCCGATCACTGTATTCTGTCTGTGACTCTGAGTGGCCCCGATACACCACCTAAGGGGAGGGGTACCTGGAAGCTGAATTCGGCACTCCTGGACGATGAGAAGGTGAGTCAATCCTTTGAGGATTTTTTTCAGGCACAGGTATCAATCATGGACGTTTGCAGCAGTAAGTCCGAGTGGTGGGAGCTTACAAAACGAAGGATCGTTGGGTTTTTCAAGGCCATAGGAAGAAATAAACAGCTTGATAAGTATGTCACCTACCAGCGTCTGCGGAGGAAGCTCGATCGGCTTGTCTCGAATAATGGAGATCCAGAAGCGATCTCTGAGGTTAAACTCTTGCTCAGGCAGTGTCAATATGACAGGCATGCCTCTTTGGTTCTGGAAAGGGATTATGGGAAATATCACTCGCCCGACCCTTACCAGAACTGCAAACAAGGTAGAGCAGTTAAGTCAGTTGTAGGCCTGGTTGACAGTACGGGTTCCCTGACAAAGTCCAAGTCAGGGATCCTGGAAACCTCCAGGTCATATTATGCTGACCTCCTGGGTAGGAGGGACCTCGATCGGGCGAGCATGTCGGGTTTTCTGGACTCTACTCCAGGACTGGGAAATGGCAGTTCTCTTGTGAGTTTGACAGAGGACATCACGGCAGATGAGGTGGTGAAAGCTATTGATCAGCTTGCCATGAAGAAGTCGCCTGGGCCAGACGGATTGACAGCCGAATTTTATAAGCACTTTAAGGTGACTCTGGCCCCATATTTGGTGGAGGTGTTTAATGGCTGTCTGAGAGAGGGTTCGCTCTCTCCCTCCATGCGACAATCTGCAGTGATTCTTCTGTCAAAGGGTAAGGATTCCTCGAGAATTGAGAATTGGCGGCCCATTAGCCTTCTCAATGTTGATAGGAAGATATTGGCAAAAATTATTTTCTGGCGTTTATCGTCTGTTGCGGGCAATTTACTTTCTCGCCATCAGCACTGTTCGGTTCAGGGGAAGAAGCACTTTTTCAGCGGTGTTAGCTGTCCGGGAGGCCCTGGAGCGGTGCAGGGCTGCAGGCTGGGGAAAGTTCCTGCTGGCATTGGATCAGGCCAAAGCTTTTGATCGAGTCAATCATGAGTACCTATGGCTGCTTCTTGGCAAGTATGGCCTGGAGGGGGGCTTTATCGATTGGCTAAAGACCTTATACAGAGGGGCTGAAAGCTTCATGCTTGTGAATGGTTGGATTGGACGACCCTTTGAGGTTGGCTCAGGTGTGCGTCAGGGGTGTCCTTTGAGTCCTCTGCTATATGCGTTTGTAATCGATCCCTTCATTCGGAGGTTAGAGAGCGGACCGTTGTGTGGAGTTCCTTTGGGCATTCCTGGGGAGCCCCCTCTGAGGGTCGTGGCCTATGCTGATGACGTGTCTGTTTTCATCTCCGGGACGCAGGAGGCGGAGGAGGTGGTCTCGGTGATGGAACAGTATGCTGAGGCAGGAGGTGGAAGAGGTGGTCTCGGTGATGGAACAGTATGCTGAGGCAGGAGGTGGAGGAGGTGGTCTCGGTGATGGAACAGTATGCTGAGGCAGGAGGTGGAGGAGGTGGTCTCGGTGATGGAACAGTACGCTGAGGCAGGAGGCGGAGGAGGTGGTCTCGGTGATGGAACAGTATGCTGCAGAGGAGGTGGAGGAGGTGGTCTCGGTGATGGAACAGTATGCTGAGGCAGGAGGCGGAGGAGGTGGTCTCGGTGATGGAACAGTATGCTGAGGCAGGAGGTGGAGGAGGTGGTCTCGGTGATGGAACAGTATGCTGAGGCAGGAGGCGGAGGAGGTGGTCTCGGTGATGGAACGGTACGCTGAGGCAGGAGGGGGAGGAGGTGGTCTCGGTGATGGAACAGTATGCTGAGGCATCTGGCTCAAAGATCAATCAGGATAAGAGTGAGGTTTTCTGGATGGGAGAGGAAGGCGAAGGCTTTACCCTTCCGGACGCCTTCCCAGAGCCCCAGCAGGAAATTAAAGTATTAGGCATCAGATTTGGTCCCGGTGATTACGGCCTTGCAAATTGGGTAAGCAGGCTACAAGATGCCGATGCCAAGGTGGCCAGCTGGAAGGATTGGAAACTCTCTTACAGGGAAAGGATTGACCTGATTAAAACTTACCTGATCCGGTATTTCTGTATGTCAGCTTTGTCTGTGTTTTGCCAGTGTCTCTCTATGCGAGGATCTACAGTTGTTTCTTCCAGCTGTTATGGGGGCACAAACTGAACCTCATTAAGAGGTCTGTAACCTACCTTCCCAGGCGGATGGGTGGCCTAGGTATGGTCAACCCGGTGGTTTTCTTTTCTCTGATGTTTTTGAAACATAATTTTGGTAGCATGCTGGCAGAGGAACCGCCTGGGTGGGTTGGTATTTTTCAGTCCTGGTTTAGGCCTTTTCTACGGAGCTGGGAGAATGGTGGGCCGGTGAAAAGCCTGAGGGTCCAACATGGTAAGCTCCCGGCTTATGTTGCCCCGTGTCTGAAAATGCTTCGGCAATGGCGAGTGACGGCGGAGGAAATTAAATCTCTTCCTAGGAAGGCCCTGGAGAGGAGGGTTGTTGAATCTGCCTTTAGCGAGCCAATGGCCTTGAGGGATTGCCCAGGCCCGGTTATGAGGGAGGGTCTGCGTTTGATGAATCTGGAGAGAATCCCTTTAAAGTTTCGGGATTTGGCCTGGCTCTCGTTCCATGGCAGACTCTATGTGAAGGGCAACCTGAAGCATCGCTCTGCGGAGAACCGTGGTTGTCCAAGAGTGGAGTGCGGTGGGGTGGAGGAGACGATGGACCATTTCTTGCTTCAGTGCCCCTTCAATATAGAAGTCTACAAGCGGGTGGGTGGGGCTCTGGGGATCCCTTTCCTTTCCCGCTTGAGTTACGCGGAGTGGTCTTACGGTGCCTTTCAGACTCACCGGGATTTTGATTTTGAGACACTTTTTCTAGTTAGCTTAGTAGTCCGTTACCACACGTGGAATGCACGGTGTCAGGTTTCCATTCGCAAAAAAGTCCTTCCTGTCGAGGTGGTGGTGAACAACATTCTGGGTGAGGTTGGGAAGATTCGGGGTCTTGAGAAGGACAGGTGGCGGCCGGGAGCCTGGACAAAGGCGTGGAGGAATGTCAGGTCCCCGTAGCTGCTGTCTGTCAGTCTCTGGGGGCGTGGCTTCTCTTTCTGTCCTTTCACGTCCCCTAGATTTTGTAACATCAGATTTTTGAAGAAAGGCTGCATGTATGGATGAATGTATGGGATGAATGTGTGGGATCAATGTGTGGGATCAATGTGTGGGATCAATGTATGGGATCGATGTATGGGATCGATGTATGGGATCAATGTGTGGGATCAATGTGTGGGATCGATGTATGGGATCAATGTGTGGGATCGATGTATGGGATCGATGTATGGGATCAATGTGTGGGATCAATGTGTGGGATCGATGTATGGGATCAATGTGTGGGATCAATGTACGGGATCAATGTATGGGATCAATGTATGGGATCAATGTACGGGATCGATGTATGGGATCAATGTATGGGATCAATGTACGGGATCGATGTATGGGGTGAATGTTTAATCGTTTCTTAGCCTGAGGGGGTGTTTAGGTGACGGTCAGGATTTGTTATTTTGCTGAAGTAAGCTGGTTTTGTTTAAAAATACATATTTTTATTCTGTATATATGTAAATATGATTTTTATGATGTTTTTTGTTTGCAAGATTTTAATAAACAAAAAATTTACACTCTAATGTCCCCTCCCCCACAGTCATGGGTATCCCCCCTATACTCCTCCTATGTACTCATCCCTATAACTGACATTTTTGTATGAACTGCCCGTGTTTCAGGTGCAGTGAGGACAGACAATGGCAGCGCGGTGGGCGGAGTCCTCCGGATGTCAGGTTCATGTTATCGCCGGGGATGCCAAGTGCAACAGAAGAGAAGTCTGGAATTTGGAGATTTTTCCATTGAAGAAAGTCCAAAACTAACGGAGTGGAGGAGCTCAGAGACTCGCCCGTCTGCCGGAATACCGATCCGGGCCGGCCCATCCCAACACAGAGACACCCAGATTGTATGACGTGTGATTGGTCTGACTCACCGTCCATGCCATGGCTTCAGGGATTCGATGGGTGAGGAGCAACCACAGGGGGGGGCTACACCCTGCCCTACATGGGTGGGGGAATAAAGAACCCCCCGCTGGGGACCCCCAGAGACAGGAAATATCAGCCCCAATCCAGCCATGACCTGACCCCTGATGACCTGACCCCCGATGACCTGACCCCCCAATGACCTGACCCCCATAATGTCCTGATCCCCTGTGATGACCTGACCCCCCCTGATGACCTGACCCCCACGATGACCTGACCCCCTGTGATCACCTGACCCCCCAATGACCTGACCCCCAATGACCTGACCCCCCTGATGACCTGACCCCCCCTCTGATCACCTGACCCCCCTGATGACCTGACCCCCCAATGACCTGACCCCCTGTGATCACCTGACCCCCCGATGACCTGACCCCCTGTGATCACCTGACCCCCCCTGATGACCTGATGACCTGACCCCCAAGATGACCTGACCCCCTGTGATGACCTGACCCACTGTGATCACCTGACCCCCCCTGATGACCTGACCCCCACGATGACCTGACCCCCTGTGATCACCTGACCCCCCCTGATGACCTGACCCCCCAATGACCTGACCCCCTGTGATCACCTGACCCCCCAATGACCTGACCCCCTGTGATCACCTGACCCCCCCTGATGACCTGACCCCCCAATGACCTGACCCCTGTGATCACCTGACCCCCGATGACACCCCCCTGTGATCACCTGACCCCCCCTGATGACCTGATCCCCTGATGACCTGACCCCCCACGATGACCTGACCCCCTGTGATCACCTGACCCCCTGTGATCACCTGACCTTCCCTGATGACCTGCTCCCCACGATGACCTGACCCCCTGTGATCACCTGAACCCCCCTGATGACCTGACCCCCCCCTGATGACCTGACCCCCTCTGATGACCTGACCCCCTGTGATCACCTGACCCCCGATGACCTGATCCCCCCAATGACCTGATCCCCTCAAATGACCTGGCCCCCCTGATGACCTGATCCCCCCAATGACCTGACCCCCGTGATCACCTGGCCCCTGATGACCTGACCCCCTGTGATCATCTGACCCTCCCCAATGACCTGACCCCCTGTGATCATCTGACCCTCCCCAATGACCTGACCCCCTGTGATCATCTGACCCTCCCCGATGACCTGACCCCCCCGATGACCTGATCCCCCCAATGACCTGACCCCCTGTGATCACCTGACCCCCAATGACTTGACCTCCCCCATGACCTGATCCCCCCAATGACCTGAACCCCCCAATGACCTGCCCCCCTGATGACATGACCCCCCTGATGACCTGAACCCCCCAATGAGCTGCCCCCCCAATGATATGACCCCCCCCTGATGACCTGCCCCCCCTGATGACATGACCCCCCCGATGACCTGATCCCCCCGATGACCTGACCCCCCCAATGACCTGACCCCCCCCATGACCTGATCCCCCCGATGACCTGACCCCCCCAATGACCTGACCCCCATTATCTCAAGGATGGATATACTTACCCGTATATTACAAGTAGAGGCGGGGCTTCTTTTCAGTGGGAATGCGGGGGAACGTATGTATGGCGGGGGGGGGGAGCTGGGGTGTTGAGGGTCTATTGATGATGGCTGCTGGGGGATCTATTGTCACTAAGGGTGGAGGTCTGTTGTTGGGGAGGTCTATTGTTTTCTGGTGGGGGATTTAATGTCACTGAGGGGTGTTCTATTGTTCTTGATGGGGGATCTATTGTTGCTGTGGGATCTTGATTTGCTGGCAGGGATCTATTGTTGAGGGATGGGGTCTTTTTCTGGGTTCTAGAAGATCTATTGTTGCTGGGGGGTGTACTTTGTTGAGGGTGGTCTACCTTTGCTGAGCAATCTATTGTTGCCGGGGAAATGTATTGATGTTTGTATTTTTGGAGGGTATTTTGTTGGGGTCTTCTGTTGCCGGAGTGATCTACTGTTGCTGGGGGGTCTACTGTGTTGGGAGTCTACTGTTGCTGGGGGATCTATTGTTCCTGAAGGATTTATTGTTGCTGGGGGGTATTTTGTTGCAGGAGTCCTCTGTTGCTCAGGGGATCTATTGTTTCTGGAGGATTTATTGTTTCTGGGGGGTATTTTGTTGTGGGGGTCTTCTGTTGCTCAGGGGATCTATTGTTTCTGGAGGATTTATTGTTGCTGAGGGTTTTTTTTGCTGTGGTCCTCTACTGTTGCCTGGGGGATATATTGTTGGTGGGGTTATTTTTTTGTGAAGGTCTACTGTTCCTGGGGAATCTGTTGTTGCTGGGGGGGGTATTTTGTTGTGAGGGTCTACTGTTGCTTAGGGGACCTATTCTTGATGGGAGATCTATTGTTTCTGGGGTTTAATGTTGCTGGGGGTATTTTGTTGCAAGAGCCTGCTGTTGCTTGGGGGATTTATTATTGCTGGGGGGTATTTTGTTGCGGGGGTCTACTGTTGCTGGGGGGATCTATTTTCAGCTCGGTCCGGTCTGGTCACATGATCCCCTGTGTCAGAGAGCAGCAGCTGCAGGGGAGGGAGTGCTGAACAATGGCAGTGGTGTCACCCATAGACTCCTATGTCCCCGCTGTTGTCTGCGCTCCCTCCTCTCCCCTGCAGGTGCAGCTCAGAGGGGATCACATGACCGGACCGGATTGGCTGAGAATGGTGAAGAAAGACACACCCCTGATGGTCTGACCCCGCCCACTCCGCTGCTCATGTGACTGTTGTCACCATTCCAGGATACAGAACCTCAGAATTTGATTCACACCGGCTGTGTTTCCCATAGTGGGCTGTGATTGGCCCACAGCTATCACGTGGTACCTCAACCCATCGCCGGACCCTGTACCATGTGATAGCTGGTGTCCAATCGCAGATCACAAGAGAAAAATCACAGCATTTAACCCGAATGATCCGATCATCACTGGAAATCAAAGTGTCACAGTCCGTGTCCCTGATCACCGCCCACACCGGTCATATGATGGCGCCTGATCACCGCCCACACCGGTCATATGATGGCGCCTGATCACCGCCCACACCGGTCATATGATGGCGCCTGATCACCAGCCCACACCGGTCATATGATGGCGCCTGATCACCGCCCACACCCGGTCATATGATGGCGCCTGATCACCGCCCACACCGGTCATATGATGATGGCGCCCGATCACCGCCCACACCGGGTTCACATGATGGCGCCTGATCACCGCCCACACCGGTCATATGATGGCGCCTGATCACCGCCCACACCGGTCATATGATGGCGCCTGATCACCGCCCACACCGGTCATATGATGGCGCCTGATCACCGCCCACACCGGTCATATGATGGCGCCTGATCACCGCCCACACCGGTCATATGATGATGGCGCCCGATCACATCACCGCCCACACCGGTCACATGATGGCGCCCGATCACCGCCCACACCGGTCATATGATGGCGCCCTGATCACCGCCCACACCGGTCATATGATGATGGCGCCTGATCACCGCCCACACCGGTCATATGATGGTGCCTGATCACCGCCCACACCGGTCATATGATGATGGCGCCCGATCACCGCCCACACCGGTCACATGATGGCGCCTGATCACCGCCCACACCGGTCACATGATGGCGCCTGATCACCGCCCACACCGGTCATATGATGATGGCGCCTGATCACCCCACCGCCCACACCGGTCATATGATGGCGCCTGATCACCGCCCACACCGGTCACATGATGGCGCCTGATCACCGCCCACACCGGTCATATGATGATGGCGCCTGATCACCGCCCACACCGGTCATATGATGATGGCGCCTGATCACCGCCCACACCGGTCACATGATGGCGCCTGATCACCGCCCACACCGGTCACATGATGGCGCCATACTGCGCTGGGGACAGGAGGGAAAGAAAAAAAATTACATGACATTTGGGGGGGATTTGTAACGTCCTGACATTTGGGGGGGATTTGTACCGTCCTGACATTTGGGGGGGATTTGTACCCTCATGACATTTGGGGGGGATTTGTACCGTCCTGACATTTGGGGGGGATTTGTACCGTCCTGACATTTGGGGGGATTTGTACCGTCCTGACATTTGGGGGGGATTTGTACCGTCCTGACATTTGGGGGGATTTGTACCCCTCCTGACATTTGGGGGGATTTGTACCGTCCTGACATTTGGGGGGGATTTGTACCGTCCTGACATTTGGGGGGGATTTGTACCGTTCTGACATTTGGGGGGGATTTGTACCGTCCTGACATTTGGGGGGATTTGTACCGTTCTGACATTTGGGGGGGATTTGTACCGTCCTGACATTTGGGGGGAATTGTACCGTCCTGACATTTGGGGGGATTTGTACCGTCTTGACATTTGGGGGGATTTGTACCGTCCTGACATTTGGGGGGGATTTGTACCGTCCTGACATTTGGGGGGGATTTGTACCCTCATGACATTTGGGGGGGATTTGTACCGTCCTGACATTTGGGGGGGATTTGTACCCTCCTGACATTTGGGGGGATTTGTACCGTCCTGACATTTGGGGGGGATTTGTACCGTCCTGACATTTGGGGGGGATTTGTACCCTCCTGACATTTGGGGGGGATTTGTACCGTCCTGACATTTGGGGGGGATTTGTACCGTCCTGACATTTGGGGGGGATTTGTACCCTCCTGACATTTGGGGGGATTTGTACCGTCCTGACATTTGGGGGGGATTTGTACCGTCCTGACATTTGGGGGGGATTTGTACCGTCCTGACATTTGGGGGGATTTGTACCGTCCTGACATTTGGGGGGGATTTGTACCGTCCTGACATTTGGGGGGATTTGTACCGTCCTGACATTTGGGGGGGATTTGTACCGTCCTGACATTTGGGGGGATTTGTACCGTCCTGACATTTGGGGGGGATTTGTACCGTCCTGACATTTGGGGGGATTTGTACCGTCCTGACATTTGGGGGGGATTTGTACCGTCCTGACATTTGGGGGGCTACAGAAATGAGATCGACCGTCAGTACATCGGGATCGATCGATCTTCAGATATATCTCCCATAGATTGCACAAACCAATCAATATACAGAACAGATTTTGGCCTAAATTTACGAGGAAATGCGATTTGAGATTTGGTAAAAGCAGCAGATTGCTGAGCTCACCTCTCTGTCACTCTGCTCTCTCCTCCTATCAGCACATGAACTGATTGGCTCCTTGAGCAGTTTCTCCCAGCAGGCTCCACCCACTACAGGAGGGGGCAGAGACAAGACCAGTCACCCTGCACAAGGAGAGAGAGCTGCTGTGGGAGGGGCCTAGCAGTTCCACCCACTACAGAAAACTAACGGAGGGGGGCGGAGACAAGACCAGTCCCCCTGCGCAAGCAGAGAGTGCTGCTGTGGGAGGGGCCTAGCAGTTCCACCCACTACAGAAAAACTACCGGAGGGGGGCGGAGACAAGACCAGTCCCCCTGCGCAAGCAGAGAGTGCTGCTGTGGGAGGGGCCTAGCAGTTCCACCCAATACAGAAAACTACAGGAGGGGGCGGAGACCAGACCAGTCCCCCTGCACAAGCAGAGAGAGCTGCTGTGGGAGGGGCCTAGAAGTTCCACCCAACACAGAAAACTACAGGAGGGGGCGGAGACCAGACCAGTCCCCCTGCACAAGCAGAGAGGGCAGCAATGGGCGGTCTTTATTCTGGGAGGTCTCAGATCTGGAGGAAATACACAAAATACACCGATTTTGGGAAATAATTTGCATATTTTTTATTATTGGTTACATGACGATAATAAGTGCTTATATGCTAATGTCACCACGCCCAGATTTCGCCGCAATCAGATCCGCTTGTGTTTTTGGCGTCCTTGTCTTTCGTTCGTTTCATTTCAAAAAGTTCAATAAATATTTACAATCCCCCTCCCCTCCCTCTCCCAGCTCTATCAATTGGTCACATGGCCCCTCCCACTAGTTCTTCAGGCTTGGCTCCTCCCCTCGTACGCCTTGTGCTCGGGTTGGGCGCGGTGGAACCACTCGGACCAGGCTCCATCGTAGACGGCCGTGTCGTCCTTCCCCAGGACGTAGGAGGCCAGAGCCAGGTGACAGGCGGTCACCCCCCGCCGACACGTGGCCGTCAGCGGCTTCTTCAGGTCCACGCCCTTCTCCTCGAAGAGGCGACGGATCTCGTGGGGCGGCTTCTGGAAACCTTCCGGTGTCAGGAAACCGGCGAAGGGGAGGTTCACCGAGCCGACGATGTGTCCGGGTTCAATCCCTGAAATACAGAAAAAAAACAAGAAATTTCCAGGAATTAGGCGATCGTTTCTCCGCCAGACAGGAAATGGGTGAAATCTGGGGGCACCTTACTGACCACGCCCACTTTTGTTGAGGGAGGGGCTGCTGTTTTTGCGCTCCTACTGGGCTGCATTGTAGCGCACATATTACGTGATGACGTCAGCGGGTCCTAAAATATGATCAGTGGAGGTGGAGAGTAGGACCTGGATGTCTCCCACATGGCCTGTGTTGGGGCCCCAATATACTGTGCTCTAACGGGGCCACACACACTGCTACTTCCAAGAAGCTTAAAACCAACTTTATTGTTCCAGCTGTACCGACGCGTTTCGCCCCGGCAATGGAAAACTATGATCAAGCCCAATGGGGGGAAACACGTCCAGCCTGATGACGAAAGATGACCTTCACCCAGCCTGACCAGAAAAGATGACCTTCACCCAGCCTGACCAGAAACGATGCCCTTCACCCAGCCTGACCAGAAAAGATGACCTTCACCCAGCCTGACCAGAAAAGATGACCTTCACCCAGCCTGACCAGAAAAGATGACCTTCACCCAGCCTGACCAGAAAAGATGGCCTTCACCCAGCCTGACCAGAAAAGATGACCTTCACCCAGCCTGACCAGAAAAGATGACCTTCACCCAGCCTGACCAGAAAAGATGACCTTCACCTAGCCTGACCAGAAAAGATGACCTTCACCCAGCCTGACCAGAAAAGATGACCTTCACCCAGCCTGACCAGAAAAGATGACCTTCACCCAGCCTGACCAGAAAAGATGACCTTCACCTAGCCTGACCAGAAAAGATGACCTTCACCCAGCCTGACCAGAAAAGATGACCTTCACCCAGCCTGACCAGAAAAGATGGCCTTCACCCAGCCTGACCAGAAAAGATGACCTTCACCCAGCCTGACCAGAAAAGATGACCTTCACCCAGCCTGACCAGAAAAGATGGCCTTCACCCAGCCTGACCAGAACAAAGAATCCTCTTCACCAGCACAGCTGTAGTTGAGCTGTCCGGGGGGCAGTGCAGGCGCGGCGCGTTCATCGCATTCATCTCCGAAAATAGAAAAGCTAAGAATGTGAAATATTCATCCCCCGAAGGCGGAGACCGCGAGAACGTCAGCTCCGCCCCCTCCCAACATAAATCATGCAAGGTGCTCTGCCAGGTAGAGGTCCCCCCCCCCCCGTACACTGTATTGAGGGCAGGTGGTCTGGTGTGGGGTCAACCAGGCTTCATGCTTGGAATTTGGGATGGACTTTTAGGGGGCCCACCACTATTATTGTGTGTGTGGGGGGGTTCCCCCCCTTAAAATGCGTACCAGACTCCAAGGGACTGCGATGCTGTAGCACTTTCTGTACATTGCAGAGACCCCGCCCCCCTCCCCACCAGCAGGATGAGGACCCCCCCCCTCCCCACCAGCAGGATGAGGATCCTCCAGGCATGTCAAAGAAACGAGACATTTTAATGTTCCACAAGAATCATCGTTCTGCCTGAGGTTCAATAAACAGCTTGTTATCCATTCTGGAATGTTCCCCAGAACAGCGAGTTCCCGGGTCTGTGCCCATTATGAGGGGTTCCCACCATCCCTGTGCCGAGTTCCCGGGTCTGTACACCCGTTGTGCCCATTATGAGGGGTTCCCACCATCCCTGTGCTGAGTTCCTGGGTCTGTACACCCACTGTGCCCATTATGAGGGGTTCCCACCATCCCCGTGATGAGTTCCTGGGTCTGTACACCCACTGTGCCCATTATGAGGGGTTCCCACCATCCCTGTGCCCATTATGAGGGGTTCCCACCATCCCTGTGCCCACTATGAGGGGTTCTACCATCCATGTGCTAAGTTCCTGGGTCTGTACACCCGTTGTGCCCATTATAAGGGGTTCCCACCATCCCTGTGCCGAGTTCCCGGGTCTGTACACACCCACTGTGCCCATTATGAGGGGTTCGCACCATCCCTGTGCCCATTATGAGGGGTTCCCACCATCCCTGTGATGAGTTCCCAGGTCTGTACACCCACTGTGCCCATTATGAGGGGTTCGCACCATCCCTGTGCCCATTATGAGGGGTTCCCACCATCCCTGTGCCCATTATGAGGGGTTCCCACCATCCCTGTGCCCATTATAATGGGTTCCCACCATTATTTATATGGACAATGTAATCAGAGAAGATGAACCTTCCCGATGTTGGGAGATGGAGGGGGTTGGCATTCTGGTGTTCTCTGCCAGCTCCATCCTCTGGACTGTCACCACAATCTACCGTCCTGGTCCAGACCCACCTCCTGGCACCTTCTCATTTCCTGGTCCCTGGTCTTCAGCGGGGTAAACTTGGAGGGTGCAATAGGAGGGTCATCCCGCAGCAAAGCCCATCCCCACCATCAGGAGCTCTGCTGATTACCAGCTCAGTGCCCCGGGGAATCCTGCATCCCCCGTCCTCAAGAGGGACCGTCCTCACCCAGAGGCCTTCATCGTGGTTCTCAATCCCAAGTCTGATCTGCCCCATGGTGTCCTGCTCTACCGTCACCTGGTTGGTGGACTAAACTTCTTGGGTATCCGTTATAGAAGGGGTCTCCAAACGTTCTAAACAAAGGGCCAGTTTACTGTCCTTCAAATCATTGGTGTCAGTGGGAGGAATAGCGCCCCATCATCATTGGTGTCAGTGGGAGGAATAGCGCCCCATCATTGGTGTCAGTGAGAGGAATAGTGCCCCATCCCCCCCATCATCGTTGGTGTCAGTGGGAGGAATAGCACCCAGTGGGAGGAATAGCGCATCATTGGTGTCAGTGGGAGGAATAGTGCCCCATCATTGGTGTCAGTGGGAGGAATAGTGCCCCCATCATTGGTGTGTAGTGCCCCAGTGGGGGAGGAATAGTGCCCCCATCATTGGTGTCAGTGGGAGGAATAGCGCCCCATCATTGGTGTCAGTGGGAGGAATAGTGCCCCATCATTGGTGTCAGTGGGAGGAATAGTGCCCCATCATTGGTGTCAGTGGGAGGAATAGTCATTGGTGTCAGTGGGAGGAATAGTCCCCATCATTGGTGTCAGTGGGAGGAATAGTGCCCCCATCATTGGTGTCAGTGGGAGGAATAGTGTCATCATTGGTGGGAGGAATAGTGCCCCATCATTGGTGTCAGTGGGAGGAATAGTGCCCCATCATTGGTGTCAGTGGGAGGAATAGTGCCCCATCATTGGTGTCAGTGGGAGGAATAGCGCCCCATCATTGGTGTCAGTGGGAGGAATAGCCCCATCATTGGTGTCCCCATCATTGGTGTCAGTGGGAGGAATAGCGCCCCATCATTGGTGTCAGTGGGAGGAATAGTGCCCCATCATCATGGTAGTCCAGTGGTGGGAGGAATAGTGCCCCATCATTGGTGTCAGTGGAGGAATAGTGCCCCATTTTGTCAGTGGGAGGAATGTCATCATTGGTGGGAGGAATAGCGCTCCCATCATTGTCATTTGTGTCAGTGGAAGGATAGCAGCCCCATCCATTGGTCAGTCAGTGTCAGTGGGAGGAATAGTGCCCCATCAGTTGGGAGGAATAGTGTCAGTGGGAGGAATAGTGCTCCCTCATTGGTGTCTCAGTGGGAGGATAGTGCTCCCTCATTGGTGTCAGTGGGAGGAATAGTGCCCCATCATTGGTGTCAGTGGGAGGAATAGTGCTCCATCATTGGTGTCAAGGAATAGTCATTGTGTCCCATCATTGGTGTCAGTGGGAATAGCGGAAGTGGGAGGAATAGTGTCCCATCATTGGTGTCAGTGGGAGGAATAGCTGTGTCCATCATTGGTGTCAGTGGGAGGAATAGTGCCCCATCATTGGTGTCAGTGGGAGGAATAGTGGGAGGAATAGTGCCCCATCATTGGTGTCAGTGGGAGGAGTGGGAGGAATAGTGCCCCATCATTGGTGTCAGTGGGAGGAAATAGTGCCCCATCATTGGTGTCAGTGGGAGGAATAGTGCTGGGAGGAATAGTGCCCCATCATTGGTGTCATTGGTGTCCCATCATTGTGGTGAGGAATAGTGCTCCCCCATCATTCAGTGGGAGGAATAGTGGTGTCAGTGGGAGGAATAGTGCTCCCTCATTGGTGTCAGTGGGAGGAATAGTGCTCCCTCATTGGTGTCAGTGGGAGGAATAGTGCTCCCTCATTGGTGTCAGTGGGAGGAATAGTGCCCCATCATTGATGTCAGTGGGAGGAATAGTGCCCCATCATTGGTGTCAGTGGGAGGAATAGTGCCCCATCATTGGTGTCAGTGGTAGAACTATGTCCACCTTCAGTGGGGGAAAAATGCCTCAAGAGCCAGAAAAGAAAAGGGCCACATTTAGTCCCTAGGTGGCAGTTTGAAGACCACTGTTTTATGGTAAAGCCAGAGGGTCCACGTTGGCATAGCTGTGGTGACATCTAACGCCCCCCTCTCCCCCACATTCTGGTCCCCCACATTCTGGCCTCCTCTCCCCCACATTCTGGCCCCCCTCCCCCACATTCTGGCACCCATCTCACCTTCTCCTGGTTTTGGCTCCGGGCCCCGGAACCTCCCCTCCCCTCGGGCGTCCACCAGCTGGAACCGTCTGCTGCTCAGGTTCTCCTGAACGTCTTGGAAGGTCTTCAGCAGAGAAGGGTTCAGGGTGGCGTGGAACGTCTGCGGCTCGGCCGGCGTGGTGTCAGACGTGACCGGCAGGTCACGCTTCACCCAGTTGGCCATCCCGCGTCCAGCACCGACACGTTGCTGTGGCCAAAGACACGGAACATCCACCAAAGCCGGGGGGCCATCATCATGCCTGCGTTGTCGCAGTCGTAGATCACCACGTGGCTCTGGTTGTGGATGCCGAGACTGCCGACGTAATCGGCGAAGTGCGCCTGGCCGGGCAGCATCATCTCGTAGGGCGACGCCTGGTCCTTACATCGCTCCATGTCGAAGAACGAGGCCCCCGGGATGTGCCTCTCCCGGAACTCCTTCCCGGCGTCCCTCCCGCCCGGCGAGTACCACGTGCAGTCCAGCACTTGCAGCAACGGAGCCTTCTTGGTTTTCAGAGCTCCGGAGAGCCACGCGGCGGTGACCAGCGCCCGGCATGCCATGGCTGCGACAAAAGCTGGGGGCCACCGGGACTCCGGGATCATTATAAAGGAGGAGGCTCCTGGGGCCACTCCACATCCTGCTGTTAATGATTCTCTTGGCGGCCAATAATGAGAATCTGATGAGTGTCACCTTTGTGTCCCTGAAGATAATCAGCCACCTAGCCGGAGCGGGGAACGGCGGCCTCATTAGCCGGTCACAAGGGGCAATGTGCGGCTAATATTGACGCAGGAGGAGATTACACAAGTCATTGATAATCTTCTCCCGCCTTGTTCCCGGTCCCCGGGCCCTTGGGAGTCTTCAGCTTCCATCAACTTTTGCAGCATTTTTCCTTCAGGTGAATCTGAACGTAGAACCCTCATGGGCCCATTGGAAGTGTGGACTGGAGTTCCTAGGTCTGTACCCCCACTGGGCCCATTATGAGGGGTTCCCACCATCCCTGTGCTGAGTTCCCGGGTCTGTACGCCCGCTGTGCCCATTATGAGGGGTTCCCACCATCCCTGTGCTGAGTTCCCGGGTCTGTACGCCCGCTGTGCCCATTATGAGGGGTTCCCGCCATCCCTGTGCTGAGTTCCCGGGTCTATACGCCCGCTGTGCCCATTATAAGGGGTTCCCGCCATCCCTGTGCCGAGTTCCCGGGTCTGTAGCCCGCTGTGCCCATTATAAGGGGTTCCCACCATCCCTGTGCGAGTTCCCGGGTCTGTACGCCCGCTGTGCCCATTATGAGGGGTTCCCACCATCCCTGTGCTGAGTTCCCGGGTCTGTACACCCGCTGTGCCCATTATGAGGGGTTCCCACCATCCCTGTGATGAGTTCCTGGGTCTGTACCCCCGCTGGGCCCATTATGAGGGGTTCCCACCATCCCTGTGCTGAGTTCCCGGGTCTATACACCCGCTGTGCCCATTATGAGGGGTTCCCACCATCCCTGTGCTGAGTTCCTGGGTCTGTACCCCCGCTGGGCCCATTATGAGGGGTTCCCACCATCCCTGTGCTGAGTTCCCGGGTCTATACACCCGCTGTGCCCATTATGAGGGGTTCCCACCATCCCTGTGCTGAGTTCCCGGGTCTATACACCCGCTGTGCCCATTATGAGGGGTTCCCACCATCCCTGTGCTGAGTTCCTGGGTCTGTACCCCCGCTGGGCCCATTATGAGGGGTTCCCACCATCCCTGTGCTGAGTTCCCGGGTCTATACACCCGCTGTGCCCATTATGAGGGGTTCCCACCATCCCTGTGCTGAGTTCCCGGGTCTGTACACCCGCTGTGCCCATTATGAGGGGTTCCCACCATTATTTATATGGACAATGTAATCAGAGATGAACCTTCTTGATGTTGGGAGATGGAGGGGGTTGGCTCTCTGATGTTCTCGGCCAGCTCCATCCTCTGGACTGTCACCACAATCTACCTTCCTGCTCCGGACCCACCGCCTGGCACCTTCTGGTCCCTGGTCTTCAGTGGGGTAAACCTGGAGGTGCAATAGGAGGGTCATCCCGCAGCAAAGCCCATCCCCACTGTCACTGTAACCCCCCCTCCATCACTCCCTCTCTTCCCCCCTCCCTTCCCCATTACATGTCCCTGTGCCCGCACATAGCCCACATAAAGTGGTGTGCCGGGCGCCAGTGATCTGCCCCCTGCAGTGAGGTTCACACCGCTCCTCGACCGGGCGCAGAGGAGTCTGCCAACCCGCTGTGTCTGCATGTGGATTCCCCACATGCAGGCCATCAGGGTGTCTCCGCACGCCCCTCCCCTTGTCCCGGCGGGCACAGTGTGGCCCCGAGGTTCCCGCGCTCTGCGCCCGCCGGAGACAAAGGCTTCGCTCCCTGTGCGCTGCTGGAGTGAGGGGGTGGGGCTTGTTGCCCTGGAAACCTGATGCCAAGCTGGCCATTGCCATGGCAACCTGGAAGCATCCTGCTCCAGCAATAAAAGAGAGTCTGCGTTGTGGCCAGACCCTACAGCCAAGACCCTGCAAGCCTGTCTACTGAGCACCCCTGCACCCTGCCCGCTGCTGAGTGTCCCTGCAAGCCTGCCTGCCGCTGAGTGTCCTGCTGGCCCGCCTGCCGCTGAGTGTCCCTGCAAGTCTGCCCGCTGCTGAGTGTCCCTGCAAGCCTGCCTGCTGCTGAGTGTCCCTGCAAGTCTGCCCGCTGCTGAGTGTCCCTGCAAGCCTGCCTGCTGCTGAGTGTCCCTGCAAGCCTGCCTGCTGCTGAGTGTCCCTGCAAGCCTGCCTGCTGCTGAGTGTCCCTGCAAGCCTGCCTGCCGCTGAGTGTCCCTGCAAGTCTGCCCGCTGCTGAGTGTCCCTGCATCCTGCCTGCCGCTGAGTGTCCTGCTGGCCCGCCTGCCGCTGAGTGTCCCTGCAAGTCTGCCCGCTGCTGAGTGTCCCTGCAAGCCTGCCTGCTGCTGAGTGTCCCTGCAAGCCTGCCTGCTGCTGAGTGTCCCTGCAAGCCTGCCCGCTGCTGAGTGTCCCTGCATCCTGCCTGCCGCTGAGTGTCCCTGCAAGCCTGCCTGCCGCTGAGTGTCCCTGCAAGTCTGCCCGCTGCTGAGTGTCCCTGCAAGCCTGCCTGCTGCTGAGTGTCCCCGCATCCTGCCTGCCGCTGAGTGTCCCTGCATCCTGCCTGCTGCTGAGTGTCCCTGCATCCTGCCCGCTGCTGAGTGTCCCTGCAAGCCTGCCTGCTGCTGAGTGTCCCTGCATCCTGCCTGCCGCTGAGTGTCCCTGCAAGCCTGCCTGCCGCTGAGTGTCCCTGCAAGCCTGCCTGCCGCTGAGTGTCCCTGCAAGCCTGCCTGCCGCTGAGTGTCCTGCTGGCCCGCCTGCCGCTGAGTGTCCCTGCAAGTCTGCCTGCTGCTGAGTGTCCCTGCAAGCCTGCCCGCTGCTGAGTGTCCCTGCAAGCCTGCCCGCTGCTGAGTGTCCCTGCAAGCCTGCCTGCCGCTGAGTGTCCCTGCATCCTGCCTGCTGCTGAGTGTCCCTGCAAGCCTGCCTGCTGCTGAGTGTCCCTGCATCCTGCCTGCCGCTGAGTGTCCCTGCAAGCCTGCCTGCCGCTGAGTGTCCCTGCAAGCCTGCCTGCCGCTGAGTGTCCCTGCAAGCCTGCCTGCCGCTGAGTGTCCTGCTGGCCCGCCTGCCGCTGAGTGTCCCTGCAAGTCTGCCTGCTGCTGAGTGTCCCTGCAAGCCTGCCTGCTGCTGAGTGTCCCTGCATCCTGCCTGCCGCTGAGTGTCCTGCTGGCCCGCCTGCCGCTGAGTGTCCTGCTGGCCCGCCTGCTGCTGAGTGTCCCTGCAAGTCTGCCCGCTGCTGAGTGTCCCTGCATCCTGCCTGCCGCTGAGTGTCCCTGCAAGCCTGCCTGCTGCTGAGTGTCCCTGCATCCTGCCTGCCGCTGAGTGTCCCTGCAAGCCTGCCTGCCGCTGAGTGTCCTGCTGGCCCGCCTGCCGCTGAGTGTCCCTGCAAGTCTGCCCGCTGCTGAGTGCCCGGATTACCCCTTGCCTACCTGAACTGCCCTCTGCTGTGCCCAGATTATCTTCGCCTGAACTGCCCCTCTGCTGAGCCCGGTTACCCATTGTCTGTCTGAACTGCCCTCTGCTGAGTACCCCGGACTTAACCCTCGCTGCCCCAATCAAGTGTCCCAAATCCCTCAATAAAAGCCTTGTGTGCCCACCGCTCTCCACGTGTGTCCTGTCCCACCTACACCTCCATCACATACTGGTTGGCAGCGGTGGGATCAGAATGCGGAAGAAGATGATGGAGAGCGATAGCCCCCTGACGCTGGACCTAGCCCGGGCTAGTGAGTACAGGAACTGGACTGTGGCGAGTTTGCAGGAGAGGGTCCGGGAACTAGGCCTCTGCGGAAGGGGCCTATCCAAGGAAGAGCTGATCACCGCCATTGAGGAAGCCAGCCCTTGAGGGGCTGACAGCTTGGTTGCCCCTCCACCAGAGACAGGATACCCTGCATCAGTCAACCAAAGCCCCAGGAGCCCCTGGATCACCTGGTATGAGGAAGAGATGGACATCCTGGGCCCTGGGGCCACCTTAGACGACAGGCGGGAGGCTATCCGGAGGGCCCACGAGAGGGAAACCCTGGGAGGCATTAGAGGACGAGATTCCCTCCCCAGCCCAAGAACCTTTGGGTTTGACCCTCCCAGGGTGACCCATAAAGATTTCAAGCCCTTTAATGAAGCAGCAGATGTAGAGGGGTTCTTCCAGGACTTCCAACACTTATGCCAGCTGCTGGAAGTACCCCAGGCAGACTGGGTGTGGCCCCTAGTCACCCTGCTGGAAGTACCCCTGGCAGACTGGGTGTGGCCCCTAGTCACCCTGCTGGAAGTACCCCTGGCAGACTGGGTGTGGCCCCTAGTCACCCTGCTGGAAGTACCCCAGGCAGACTGGGTGTGGCCCCTAGTCACCCTGCTGGAAGTACCCCTGGCAGACTGGGTGTGGCCCCTTGTCACCCTGCTGGAAGTACCCCTGGCAGACTGGGTGTGGCCCCTAGTCACCCTGCTGGAAGTACCCCAGGCAGACTGGGTGTGGCCCCTAGTCACCCTGCTGGAAGTACCCCAGGCAGACTGGGTGTGGCCCCTAGTCACCCTGCTGGAAGTACCCCAGGCAGACTGGGTGTGGCCCCTAGTCACCCTGCTGGAAGTACCCCAGG